CCCCAAAACCCCAAAACCCCAAAACCCCTATAATAAAATTTTAGCTTGAATGATATATTATAAATATGGATAAAATTGGCAATTCAGAAGAAAATTTACCTCAGGAGGTTGTAGAAGAAGATGCTTTTGCATCAAAAGTTCGCTTATCTCCGAATATTGATAAAAATATGTCCCATTCGGGACTGAGAGCCGAATTGGACTCTAAAGCGATTCCTACAGCTAGACCATGAGTTTTTGGACAATTCTTGATTAGTGGATCAAAATCTAACAACAATACCCTGCATGTCCCAAAGAAAGGGATCTTTTCGAAGAAATTCAAATCTCAAGATTCACTAAATAAATCTTGTTTGCCTAAAGACATCAAAGACCTCCTCCACAGAGCCATGAGAATCAGAAGCCGCTCCAAGCGTCACACTAATAAAGAAAAAGACTGTCCTATTTTAATAGAGGAGGAAGAAAAGAAGAATACAATAGCTTGTAGGATTACCAAAGAAATCACAATGAAGGACTTGGAGAGCCCTGTCATTCGTTTTAATTAGCTTTCATAATCTAATAAGTTCCTTTAAACTCTCTTCTTTATCAACAAAATGGCTTGAAAGCTCTTCAATTCGAGATATACAACGGTGGGCACCAGTATGAACAATTAATGCACAAAATGTCTCATATTACAATATTGATTTTATGATAAACAATGCGAATAAACATATTAGAGTGCTCAAATGGAAAATTTTGGGTGGCCTATCCTTCATCAACTATATAAAAAGGCAAGAAATAATTAAAAGACCAAGTCTTGCACGAAAAATCAAGGCTTAATGGTATCATGAAATGTCAAAAATGATTAAAAATACGACCATTACTTAGCTTAAAAATTCAGATGTTTTATTAACATTAGGTATGATTGATATACAGCAGTGGGATTTAATGTTGTTAAAAATAGTAATAACTCAGACTAAAGAGCATAGCATCGAGTAATATCGCTACTACTAAATTCTGATTTATAAATTTTCAGAAAATTCATAATTTTAAGAACTTATTAAATTACAAAGATTATTTTTACGTTATAAGCACATACTGACAAAAGGATTAGCAATAAATTACCTAAGAAAACGAAAATTCTTAAATTGGTCATCTGCAACTTCTGGACGTGGAACTCAAGTAAGCTCACCCACTGGCATTTATGAACTTACAGCTATTTCTACTTTTTATCATAACATGCTGAAAATTTATTATTCAAATGTTCATCCAAATTTTCTAATTTGATAAGTATACAAAGCTTGAAATCTAAACTCTTGGGTCATTAAGTAATAAAATTATTTTAAAAGCTATTTGGAGGATGTCAGCAGAGCAGAAGCTCTTCCTAAAAATATTTATTATTATTTCAAGCATTTTCCTAAACTTTTAGAAATATTACTACCAAGGACGATAAATAATAGTAAAATGCCCAGATTATTATTTCTCTCAGCCAAGAGGATCTCTCTTGCATATTTTGAACTAATTCAAAGCATACAAAAATTAAGTGCACTTCTCATTATTAGTATACTGAATTATTGACAATTATGACTAAATCTGCAAACCAAAGTTTGTGCTCTAAATCATCGATAAGCCAGAAGTTTCTGATTTAGAAGACTTATCTGCAGACATAAGCATCAAGGAGGCATCAGATTACACCTCTATTTCTGCCTGGTGACCTTCAGAGCGATCTGCCAAATGAGTTTTCCATATAGGTTGATTACTTAATATTTATTTTCCAGCCCAAGTTCTCAATCTGGGTGAAATATCGCGGGGTTTTGGGGTTTTGGGGTTTTGGGGTTTTGGGG